AAGCGGCCAATGTACGAAAATATTTAAAACAGGAAAAGGTTGTCGAGCTTCCACATCGTTCTTATTTGCCAGATCTTGCCCCTTGTGACTTTTCGATATTTCCGAAGATCAAAAATGGAAGAAAATATCAAACGTAAAAAAAATCTCGGTTCGGTTATATTCCAGTGTCTGAACAGTATACTTTGAAAAAGATCTGGTGGGGAGTATTTTGAAGGATTAAGATACTTATTTTGGCACACTGTTTGGGAAGCACTTCTGAAAATTGACCCAGTTGCATTCATATTCGAACACCCCTAACATTAGCATCATACCCTAGAAAATATAACCAATAAACCTTCAGCGTTTAAACCACATGAGGTCATGTGACAAGAGTAATCATTATTGAATCCTATCTATCAATTAACCCTCCCTTCTTTTTCCAGAGTCCAAAAATCCATATCAAATGCATATCGGACACCATATTTACCCGTTTTATTAAGAATTATAATGATCATAATTATATTCCAAAAAGTATACAGGAGTAACATGTATACACAATCAAGAGCAATCAACCGTGCAAAGCTGTCTATAAAACTGTTGAAGTAAGAAATGTAAGTCGTAAATTGCTTTAAGCAGCATTCCTCCAGATTCATGCTTATTTCAATAAAAACTGTACACATTTTATGAGCAAATGTTTATGCCGGATAAATAAGGGTTGTTATGCACCTTTAACATTGAAAACAGTCCCTCCCTTTGATCTGTTTAAACGTTAGTTTATTTATTATTTAGTCTCGATTTATTACTTATATAAGGATTTTAAATGACCAAGTCTCATTTTGTCCATTTTTTTCTGAGGAAGCCCGAACCTATGCTTAGTAAATCGTCCAATTATGATGATATTTTACAAATTAATATATATTTCCTTCTATCAGTTCCAAAAATATTAATTGCTAACCAAAGAATGGACAGACAGACGACAAGATGCTTGAAATTACACTCCAAATTTCTTTTTTAAGTGTCTGAAAAAGGAAGACAATTTGTTAATAATTTATTTCTTTTATTTAAAACTTTGACATGTCAGATACAAATTATAAAAATTAGTTATCACAATTCACAGTAAATACAGTGGCTATGCTTTAATGAGTAAAAATAAGAGAAATGAAAGCGGTGATTATTTTCACAGCTTGATAGTCGAATAATCGACATACTGAGAAGTCGTAAAAATTTATAGATGTAAAACAGATGTGAAAGAGGTTCCAAACTTAGTTATCTAAAATCATTATCATCAATGCATATTTGACATGAATGTTAAATAGAATTAGTACTTGCGGAGACAAAACTAGTGTGCGAAAATTTATAAACAGTATCTGTATGTTAATGTATGTATGCATTGTAGGGTAAATTAGGACCATCTGTCTTATTTTAAAACAGGCTACATATGAGGCCTTTGAAAGGTCTATAAAAAGACGATAAATGCAGTTGTTCAATGGCTTAACATGTATATAAAGATGCGTTATTAAATGGATGATATCGAATGAGTGGTGGTTCAATACTGAATTTATTGCACGAGTTGAACTAAATTATTTTATGCGAGCATCTGGTGAGCTAAACGTTATTTTATTCAACAAGTTCAATTAATTCAGTAATGAACCTTTACAAATACCACATACCCAAAATAAAGACCGTTTAATTTGCAAAAGAATCATTTTTCATTGACGTGTCAATGGCGTTACACTTACATTTAGCGCATTTTACACGTTGTTTGTATAATGTAAATGACGTCACATCAAAATATATGCAAGACTGTGCAATACCATATTTGCGGAGTCGAAAATCGGTACAGGTATGTGATAAATGTTATTAACATAAGGTACATACATTTTGCTTCAGCATGACAAATTACATTAAAGAAACTCCATTTAAGGTCCAAAGCCAACAATTAGAAAATTTGGATTTCTTCCTTAGATCAGCAGAGACCGTTAAGGCAATAGAACATGCAAAAGATAATTTAATTTATGAAATATATTCTGAAATATATTGAAAACCATATTTTTGTGTTATTATTTGACCGATTCGAGTAAAAAAAGCGTTGCAAAGCTTTTCAATTTTCTGCCAGTTTTAAAGCTGCACGCCTCCAAATGAGCAAAAATATTTTGATAAAACCAAACCTAAGAAAAAAGTACTAAGATTTAGGAAAAGTATAAAAATTTAAAATTCTATTAATAATCTCAATGTTATGTGCGATTAGTGATCAATTTTTCAGTATTTATAACTATAATTCTACTCAATTACTAATACAGCAAGGATTATTTTTGCATATTGTGACCTCTTTATGGTAATTTAAATGTGTTGTAAGTGCCATTGATTATGTGTAAACTGCATTCTTTTGGTAACTTTACAATATTACGATGTTAAATACATTTTCAAATTTTCAAGACAATTAGCATGAATCTGCAGGCGTGCTGCTTTAACAATTAAAATATTTATTCTGAAACAACTGAGTAGGCAAATGATCTGAAATGTTGCACACAAGTGTTAAGGCTAAACCTTCATCACAGCGAACATTAATCTTAAAATAAAATTTCCAGTATCCGACGTGTCAAAAACAAGTGGAGTCCCTTTAATTAGCCAATTGACATCAAATGAATAAACTAACTTATTTCCATCACAGGGAATATTGATCTTGCAGAGATTATTTCCAGTATCCGACATGCCAAAAAAACCTCAGTGCAGTCCCTTTAATTAGCCAATTAACATCAAATGAATAAATAAACTGCTTAAAGTACACCATCTAACTTCCATTCAGTGTTCTTTTTCCAATGTAAGAGAATATAATGACATAACTTAATAATATACCATTGCTAATGATTCAGATAACAGCAGTCATTTTTATAATAAATACTGTTGATTTGTACACAAATCTTGCAACATTATAACAAATATATTTCTTTATATTAAACGACCAACATCCTATCTTCATACTTACAATAAAATGCAAACTGGAAATCTAGCAACACAAAACACTAAGAACATAATTTCAAATATAATGAATATAAACAATAAGAAAATTGCTAAGCTAATGAAAATTCAGACAGAAAAAAATGAAATTCTAGGTTTCATCAGTGAGATTTAACTGTTACCCTAGTAACACATCAACAACAAAGATGCTCCTGTTTAAAATCAAGAAATTGATAATAAAATGAAGATTTCGAGAATAAAGAATAAATATTTTTACAAAAGATAATATTTCTTAAAGTCACATCATTAAGCCTCAGAAAAGATTTGTTTTCTTTCTGTAGAAAGAGCAAACATGTGCTTAATCATGTTAAAATAATGGTTTGAGAACATGCAAGATGCTTTTCACCTAAAGAAAATAGTGCTGAATGTGACATACAGGTAGCAAGGTGATAACAAAATAGTACATTAGTACTTTGAATTCAAATACTAAACCCCTATAGCCGTTTTAATTGGCAAAAACAATAAGCAAATGATGGCCTAGCTTTAAGGCCAATTAGTTACCTTTTAGTTTTATAGTTTATACAAATTAATTTAAATTTTGAATGTGTTGGCAGCTGTAAGCATATGAAAACACTCTTTTATCCATTCCTAGAAATAAGGAAAAATGGTAAAGTTTCTTGGTCACAGATACACAGATTGTCTGTGACAGGGTTTTAAATCAATGCCTCCGGCAAACATTTCATTACTAGTCCGACATTTTAACCTCTACGCCACACCACCACTTCTGGAAATTGTTACAGGATACCACATACGTTTAATGTCAATTTAAGCCTGTAAGGATACTCTATAAAGAAAGCTTTTCAAATTTTGAAAGATAAAAATACAAATAGTTGTATTTTGAAGGCTTAATTGGCTTTTAATACACTCATGCTACATATAATTAGTATATCCTTCAACATGTTAAATGCAAGAGAAAAAAAGAAACTTCAGTTTCAAATTCCAAGTTTGATTCTACATATTTACACATATTTATTCTCCCTATAGTTCAGTATAATACATCATTCAACATGTTTTTCAGTTTTTATATTGGAGGACAGGTGACCTTGACCTTCTAGTTTTCTACGGTCACTAGGTGGAGCTGTTTGTCGTGAGTATTTAGCTGCAATGGCATGTGGCATAGTTTGCTGAAAATAAAAATATGTATAAATACTTTTCAGTTACAGAAATCTATGCATATAATAAATATAAAAGTAAAAAGTCAGTATTTCATAAACAAAAATTGCATTTTGTTTCAAAAATATCAATCAACAAATCAAAACTATAAAATCATATGCAGAATTCAATGTAATGTGATGTCATGTAAAACATAAAATGTCGTTACATTTGGTATTCGTGAATTAGACTGGATAACATTTATTCAGTATTAATCTCTTTCTATGAATTTTTTAAAGCAAAAAGTGTATTTACATCCATATTGTACATGACACTTTATTATCAATTTATTAAAAAAAAAAATATTTTTATGCAAATTTTTACTATATTTTTTATGAATAAATTCAAGATAACAACAATAAACTTACATGGAACTTACATGAAAGCTCAAGCATGTTTTAATATTTAATATAATTAACAAAAGGGAGGTAACGCAGGTTAGCAATTATGAAGAACAAAATCAATTTAAGTAATAATACTGTGTAATTACAACTGTGTAATTACAACAAAATGTTCAGTTAATAAAAAGGCTTCTTTTAGAACTATAAAACAACATAAAACTGTTTGAGTGAGACTCAAAAAAGGATTGGAGCAACCCCACAAATAGTTTCCCGTATATAGGAGAAATTTCCCCAGAAAGATAATATGCTAAAAATTTTCGCCCCTTTTAACCCCCAAAGGGGAATTTGGGTTTTTTAGGGGCCTTTAATTTTTGTTTTTACACCCCATTAAAAGTAGTAATGAATGAAAAAAATTTAAAAAACAAGCAAAAAAAAGATGTTTTTTCTATTTTTTTATCAGGATTTCTGCAAGCATCTAGAGGTACTGCTCCAATCCTGTATTGAGTTAAATCAAAACTGTTTCAGGGTCATTTTGAGTGCTTTACTTAGTTTATTGACTGGCTGATGTCGTTCTACGGTCACTGAGGTCATGGGCGGAGCTAAAACTTGTGACCCCACCCCTTTTGACATCTTACTGTCAACTTTTGAAGTTACCTTTGTAGATAAATGTTTTGACAGTCCTGGTTTTCCTGTTGACTTTGAACTCTATATAAAGATGTAAAAGATAAAATAATTTTAATAAATATACACGAGACAGGCTTTGACACATGCCAAGTTTTCATGGCATCTGGCTGAAATTCCTGGAGAAATGTTGAAGGTCATGTGCACAGGTGAAAAATTCCTCACTGAAGTGCAATAACTTATAAACTTCTATTAAATGTAAAAGGACTAACCACTTACTGCACTAAAGTGACATTATGTGTACATCCAGCTGGTAAGTAAAAGGAGCATAAACCCGCAAAAAAGTTATCTTATCTTGATTTAAGCATTTTGAGGGACAGACAATCTTTTCATTTAGCAATCTTTCAATCTTCCCTTCCATGCATACAATATTTTTAATTACACAGTAACAAGAGCTGTCGGTAGGACAGCATGCTTGACTAATTTAAGTATGTGATGATTATGAAACAACAGCCTGGATAACGTAGAATATCCCAAGTTAGAAAAGACCATAATTCTGCCAAATCCATGTTAGAGTTATGGCCCTTAAAAAGTGACCTCCTATTATGCTCTCAAATAAGTGTGTTAAGTATAAAACCTTTCTCTTCAGTAATTTTTGACATACCAACTTCCCCACAAAAATATAAACAAAAGTGATGCCTGGGTGAGGACAAACGCTCTCCCTATTTTTTCTTATAACTAAATGTTTTAAAAGTTTGGTGACATTTTTTCCGCCTGAGTGCTTCTGTTATCATATTATATGATCACAAAATGCTTACAAAATTTCTAAATCTTTTTCATTCTGCCTATATGTTGGTATTGTAACTGTGGTGAACGCCTTTAAAACTGCTTATTTATAATCAAATGGAATAGAATGTTTTAACTATACTAACCAATGGTCGGCCCTGTGTTACTGTAACAGGTCGTGAGCCTTCACTAGTTACAATTCTCTCATGTTGATTGTGTGGTAATGTTTTAGGGATACTGTAATCTTTCTCTGGTATACTGTCTTTCATGTTTTCACTGATATCATCAGGTATCTGTACTTTTCCTGATTTAAACAAATTGAAAATGTATTTAAAAGTAAAATATTGTGAAGTAAACAAAAATTGTAATTTAAACATTTTGCAAAAGGCACTTACAATCATCGTAAATTACCAAATGGAGGTCAAAATATGCAAACATAGCCTTTATTGCATTAGTAATGCAGTAGATATATGGTGATATATATTGCAAAAACAATCATTAATCATAACATGTGAATTATAACTTGAATCAGGAATCTGTTTACTTTTCTTAAAATATTAGTACAATTTTCTCAAGCTTGAATTACTCAAAATATTAAGGCTCTTCTGGAGACATGTAGCTTTAAATGCCTATGTTACAAACTACAACTAATTTATTTCAAACAAAAATATCTTTTAGAGATGATTTGTTTATTATTTTAATACTAATTAAGTGGTAAAAAAATCCATGACATGGTCTTAGTTTCACATTTTCTCAACCTCAAGTCACATGGCCTTATTTTCACATTTTCTCAACTGCAAGTCATGTGGCCTAAGTTTCAAATTTTCTCACTTTAGGTTACATGGTCTTAGTTTCACATTTTTTCACTTTAAAGCAGGTGACCTTGAGAAGATAGCAGAAAAACTGCCGTTTTGCTATTATTTCACCCTCCCCCCCCCCTCAAATACACTTGAAATAAATCAAAATGACACTTCAAAATGTTTATATTTTAGCATTTTATTGCTCTGAAAACAAACTGTCCGCTTTCCCACCAACAGGAAATACCTTCTTTTATTATACCACGGAATTCTCTCATCCGGGTTTTTTTTCTAGTATATCTTGGTCAAAAGGACAATATGGCAACCTCTGCTCCGGAACGCACCGAACCCGGGATTTTATCAAGCATATAGGGATACGAATAACTGCTTTTGTTTTTATATTTGTAGTAATTCATGGCACTAACATAATGTTTGATTCATTATTTTATATATATGATGACCAATACACTCATAAACACTTTCAATATGATCTACGTAAATAACCGAGGTTTAGTGAGTGGAAAATATGAGTTGCTGTCCTTATCTTCGAGTAAAATTGATACTGCTTATGCTAAAACAATACAAAATAAGCCGTTTTTAAACCACTAGATTGTTGTGATTAAATGTCTGATTTTAAAATGTATTACACCAACAGAAAGCTTTGGATCTGAGGTTTATCACAGTATAACCGTCAACATATCTTTTGAATCCGAAGTATTTAAATTAACTGTTAAATCTACCATATATCAGACCATTTTACATACGATTTATACAGTGAGATACACCAACCTGTTATCTTTATTCGAAATACTACCGATAAGAATATCCTGTCGTCTGCTAGTTCTGAAAGTATTTATCTGTGTATTTATAGATGAAATGTGATAGGGGCATAATAAATGACGTAAATTGAAAAACGATCCCGGCATACCGGATACCGGGATTTTTCCAAACCAATGTTGTGACACGTGACAGCGTTAAATGAATTATCTTCACCTATTTATATTGGCCACTGCTTAAGTAACATATTAGATTATGGAAAAGAAAAACCCGATATATTAATGCTTTTGCCAACATTTTTCTTGAATCAATGTGTCAGTTATGATAGATTAATACACTGAACCTAACTAGATCAGTATTTACTGTTTACTTGAAATTTAATTTCATTTTTTTCATTTTACCATCTGGAGGGGAGTGGCTTTAAGTCACATGGTCTTAGTTTAACATTTTCTCACTTTAAGTCACATGATCTTAGTTTCACATTTTCTTACTTGAGGTCACATGGTCTTAGTTTCACATTTTCTTACTTTTAGTCAAATGGTCCTGTTTTCACATTTTCTCAACTTCAAGTCACATAGTCTTAGTTTCACATTTTCTCAACTTCAAGTCACATGGCCTTAGTTTCTTTAAATTTATGTCAAAAAGTTTATCTATGTCTTTGTTCTCTTTTTCCTCATTGTTATGAAATATTGTCATCGCCTCGAGATTAAGCGCACACACTCCACGCATGAACGCTTTCTTCATCATATCTTCGTATCGTTCACGTTCTTTATGCATCTGGGCTACCTCCGCTTTCACACATTCTAACTCTTCATTTGCCTACATTAAATATAAAATGAGGAAAAATAATTCAATATGTTTATATCTGTATACATGCATTCCACTTTAAATAAAATTATATCTGATTACTTATCAAAGTGTGTTTTTTCCTTCAATAGTAAGTGCCATTATATGGCGGCTTTTATTTTTTTTAAATCATGCAGTTTTCCACAAAAAAAAAAAATGAAATTTCGTCAAGTTTATTTCTTCGCTTTTGCAAACATACCATATAATTTTTCAAAAAAAAAAAAATGAGAGCGGGGCTCCTTTCCCAAACTCTAAGAAAAGCCATGCAGGGAGCCTCAGTGAATTTTCTCAATTAATTTTGGGATAAATTATTGCTTAATTTGCTAATTTGGGAAGTAAATTGCTTGCATAATTTCATATTTTTGGGGAAAACTACATGATTTTAAAGAAAGTTTCAATTGGGAAAATGCCAATTTTGACCCCAAGGCTTTTATTTGAACAAACTTGGTAGACACCCATTAGAACATGTTTCATGCTAAATATCTTAGCTCTAGCTCTTTGAGTTCTTTAAAAGAAGATTTTGCAAGTTTTTACTATATGCTTATAGGGAAAATCAATGACCCCCTGAGGTGCGGCCAATTTTGACCCCAGGGCTTTTATTTGAACACACTTGGTATACACTCATTAGAAGATGTTTCATGCTGAATATCTTAGCTCAAGCTCTTTGGGTTCTTTAAAAGAAGATTTTTTAAGTTTTTACTATATGCATATAGAGCAAATCAATGACCCACTGGGGCGGAGCCAATTTGACCCCAGGGATTTTATATGAACAAACTTGGTAGACACTTACTAGGAGATGGTTCATGCCAAATATTTAAGCTCTAGCTCTTAGGGTTTTTTAAAAGAAGATATTTAAAAAAAATTCTCTCGGTTGACAATCAGAGTTCTGCATGGAATTCAATTTTTTGAACAATCTTTAAAGGTGACTACCAAAGGAACATTCTTGTGAAGTTTGCATGAAATTGGCTTAGTGGTTAATGAAGAGATGTCATTTAAAGAAAAAGTTTACAGACGGACGGACGGACGACGGACGGACGGATGACGGACGGACGGACGTCGGACGAAAAGCGATCACAAAAGCTCACCCTGTCACTGTGTGACAGGTGAGCTAAAAATATAGTGTCTATTTGAACAGGCACTGATATGTTTTCATCAAACCACTAATTTAATGTAGTGAATACATATACAGTAAAAACTGTTTACAGTGCCCTTCGATGGAAGAAAAGAAAAAACGTCATTATAGACAGGCAGTCACTGTGAACAGTCTCTACATTATTCTGATATATGAACATATTTTACCAATATTTTGGTGAAAAGCAGGACAGTACCATATTTGATTATATTTTTTATTGATATTGACCATATCTTAAACATACCACATATCATTAATCAAAACAAGACAGTATAAACATTGCATGTATTATTTCCCGAAAGCCCCATTATGCATTATATATGCTATGATTTTAATTTCTAAAAAATCTTTTAATTTTTTGGTAACGCCATACGAGGAACTCCCCTTGCAAAAGTCGCTTTGCACGGCTTATATACCGTAACGGAAGACTAAATTATGGTCGTTGTACAGACTTGACAGGGAGTCGCTTCATACAGACCATTTATACAGTTAATTCTGTTCGGCGCACCTAACTATGGTCACTTAAGACAGAACGTCGCTATATACAGGGGGTCACTAAGACACTCTTTACTGTAGTTGCAAAGAAGATTTTATAAAATGCATATTAGATCAGCTAACCAGTAAAAGTTTACAGTACATTTTTCTTAAAATACATGTATTATTGTATAAACAATTTAACTTATTTCCCAACTCATTGGCAAAAATTCAGACAATTTAGAAATAAAACTACGTTACTGATCAGGGAAACAAAATCAAATTATTACTGTAATATGGCAAATAAACTAAAAGAACAATCATTATCATCTAAGGATTGGTGGAAAACTTTAAAAACATTCATTTCATCTACAACCAGTCAAACAATGCCCCCACTTAAGAGCAACACAAACAAATTACATTTTTCTGACGAAGAGAAGGCAAATCTCCTAAATGAATATTTTCTTCAGCAGACACAAGTCGACAACTCAGATAAAGATGTCCCCGATCTTGGTCCTCCATTGAATGGAAATATATTATCTGAACTTGTTCTTACTCCAGACGAAACACAATCTGTCCTTAAATCTCTTAAAACCGATAAAGCATCTGGTCCTGATGGAATCAGTAATACAATTCTTAAAGAAGCTTCTCAAGAACTTTCTGTCCCCTTATGTAACCTATTCAACTACTCTCTCCAAAGTTGTATCATACCATCTTCTTGGAAAGAAGCTAATGTAACTGTAATTTTCAAAAAAGGTGATCCATCCTTGCCTAGTAACTATCGTCCTATTTCACTTCTAAACACCATGGAGAAAGTATTTGAAAGACTTATATTCAAACATCTCTTTAACCATTTGCAAAATAATAACTTCCTTACTCCAGTTCAATCAGGATTTATACCAGGCGATTCAACAGTCAATCAATTAGTGTCTATTTACGATACTCTTTGCAAAGCCCTTGATAACGGTCTAGAAGTACGAGTTATTTTCTTTGACATTAGTAAAGCTTTCGACAAGGTTTGGCACAAGGGTTTACTTACTAAATTGAAACATGCTGGAATTTCTGGAAAGGTCTATACTTGGTTTCTCGAATATTTAAAAGATAGACAACAACGTGTTGTCCTTTCTAATTCTAAATCGTCTATTGGTTACCTTTCAGCTGGTGTCCCCCAAGGCTCAATTCTTGGTCCTCTCCTCTTTCTCATATTTATTAACGATATTGTTAAAGATATATAATCTTGTATCAATTTATTCGCCGATGATACTAGTCTTTATCTTGTTGTTGAAAATCCACAAACAGCTGCTATCACATTACAGTCGGATATAGACAGAATTTCATTATGGGCAGATACATGGCTTGTTTCATTTAATCCTTCTAAATCTGAGTCTTTATTAGTCTCTAGAAAGAGATATCCAAATCAACACCCAGAACTAAAAATGAATAATCAGACTATTACTGAAGTTTCCGACCACAAACATCTTGGAGTTTTAATTTCGAATAACTGCACATGGCACTCACATATAGATTATATAACAAATAAAGCATGGAATAGGGTAAATATTATGAGAAAACTTAAATTTCGCCTAGATAGAAAATCACTAGAGACAATCTACACTTCTTTCATTCGTCCATTACTTGAATATGCTGATGTTATATGGGGAAATGCTACAAATTTTGAATAAGACGAACTTAACAAAATCCAAAACGAATGTGCTCGTATTGCTTCCGGATGTACAAGACTTGTTTCACTCGAAAATCTTTCAAATGAAATAAACTGGGAATCTCTCGAAGAAAGACGATATATACATAGAATGATCTTACTTTTTAAAATTCAAAACGGACTAGCTCCAGATTATCTTTTTTTCAATTCTCCCAACATCAACTAATAATAGGTACAACCTAAGAAATATTGACAATATTCCGGGAATATATGCAAGAACTACACTTAATTTTAACTCTTTTTTTCCGACTGCAATAAGGGAATGGAATAATCTTCCACACGACGTCCGTAACCTTCCAACTATCACATCATTTAAACAAAATTTAAAG